TCCCCTCACGCCCCCCTTTTAAAAAAAGTACAAAACAACTTTTTCACCAGGTTCATTAGTCAAAACAAAAAAGCAGGGAGTACACGAGAAGATTATGTCACCATTCCAATAGTAAAAAATAAAACACGTGATAGTCTACTCTGAAACCTACATTTATTTTGTTTGAGATTTTCTCTTCATATCTATGATGGCATATCCTTTTTCTTCCTTCTTCTCTTTTGTCCTATCCCAACTAAAAGACATTGAACTTTAACTTCAGGTTCGAAATAAAAATGTATTATGGTCATTAAAACACTACCAGTATCAAGTATAGTGACCGTCGCGTGTCCATTTCCCTTTGTTGTAAATCCTACAGAGGGCTTTAATAAAGTGTACAAACTGTCTTCACTGACTATTGTTCTTTGCACATCTCAGTTGTTGCGGGAAAAAAACATGCTCCTCAATAATACTTCACCAATACGTCTACAAAGACCAGTCATCTACTTTCCTTGTCTGACGTGATCAAAATGCTCTCGCTAAAGAAAAAGCTTCCAGTGATAAATATGCTCTTTATAGGTTTTATATTTTAAAGGGAAAATAATGCCGTGTTTTCAACTGCTGCTAGCGACATAACCCTACGTGTCCACTGAGACGGACGAAATCGGGTCGGTTTTGCCCGTTGCAGTGGACACGGATCCTAACTCTTTCTACTCAAAAAGCTGCTCAGAGCACATGGCTTGGTACTCATTTTTCTAATGCGTATTGTCCAAGCTGGGCACGACTTTAGCATTTGTGTACATCTTTTCGGAAATGTGACATAGGTAAAAGATATGAAAGCTTTTTTCTTTGACAGATAAGACACATTTTTTTTTCAATTCAAAACAGCCAAAGCTAAAACTTGTTGAAAAGCTTGTATATCCATACAAAATCTGACTCAAATAGAATTTCATTTGACTACTTTTGGTAATTTTTAAATTATGTTATGAAATAATGTTTTCACTTTTCTTTTAAAATATAAGATTTGTACTTTAATTTAAAAGAGTGTTTTGTTAAGAAACAAACCATACACAAACAATTAGGTGGAAAGAAGCAAATGTAAAAGAAAGCCGTTTTAAAAATTATTTTTGCTCATTTCTACTTTGGACTTATTCCTATTGTCCGGACAACAAACACAGTCCGTAGCTTTGTTTAACAACATGGGTCGTGCCAAACTTTACAGTGAAGTACATGACTTGTGGAGAAGAAAAAAAACTGTACACTTTCGGTTCAGTTTGCTTGCTATTTTCTATGTGAACTTTGACTTCTCGTGACCTGGCTTTCAGACCAACAATGTCATATGATGTCGTTCAGCGAAGAGCAGCTCAGAGAACCCAAAAGAGTCACGCACCTCGCCAGGCCTCACAAGTCAGAAGTATTGACCTTTACAGGGCACGTTACGCGCATTAAGCTCCGTGCACGTGACACATATGAATTGTCCAGCCTTATATTCTTAGAACTACAGGTTGTCACTTTCAATTACTTCGTTTTCGACTGCACTTTAATTACTTTTTTGTCATTCTGTCCTTTTTTTTTTTGACAACGCATTTGCAGAAGGCATGAGCATGAATAACAAATCCCACATTATTTTTATTCACGGTTGTTTCTATTTAAAAGGCAAACTACAAGAAACTCAATCTCTTTATGGTCAACATTTTAAAAAATAAAACACAAGCTCTTTTCAACTCTGTAAAGTGTCTGGCAGTACCTTGTTTTGTTTTGTTTTCTGTTTTCTACCTTCATAAACGCCTTCTCGTAACGTGACATAAGTGTAAAATGAATAGATTTATAACGCATTACAATTCTTCACACATGGACCTAATAGGGGTGTATAAGTACATGTACTTGCATCGTTCATCTCGGTGAAATTTATCTTGTATATGCGTTCATTTGTTCTGGAACGTATAGAATAGCAGCATGCCAATATACACAGGGTGTTAAACGAGTCGTCAGTGAGATGATATGACGAGTTTTCAAAACGATGGAAATGGATTACATGTCAATAAACTATGAAGATTTTGTTGCGTTCTCCCTTAAACGAGAACATAGACTTCAAATAATTGGTTTGGAGGAAAAGAAGTCTTTTGGACATATACTGGTAGACAGAGAATTCCTATCCAAACACTGAACAACACCCCCACCTGTTCTCTCATGATACCATGCAAATTGGGTTAACTTTATTCCTATGAAAAGAAAGGTCCAAACCTAAATTGTTTCTGATGAAGTAGTATTGAATTTAAGCACTTTTTAGTACTCATGGATCGTCTAAGTTTTAAAATATTATTATAGTCTTGCACACGTGCTAGAGGCTCTTCGAGACTGAACACGACAAAGAAAAACGCGTGGTAAAAGGCAAGACACAAAACATTAATACAAATCCAAGTTGTGCCATTTTCAAAATCGTCGATGTACCAGACTTTGCAACAACTTTAAAGTTAGATAAAAGTGGCAACAGTTCAAAATTGAAAGTGGTCGCTGTGTTTAGACAATAATTTCAAAATCCGTTGTGGGAGATTACGATTCTGAAAAAAAAAGAAAGAAAAGACATTCGACATTGTCCACTCCCACTCCTTTCCCTGTTTATGTACCAACGGTAACAAAATCTTTCTTGAGCGCTCCTTAAACGTGAAATCGTCTCACTAAACAGATCCTTGACATGGACAACACAATATTTACTCTAACACCGACCTTCTTGGATTAGCATTCGCCGTCTTAACTTGTGACCCCCCCCCTTCTCTCTCTCT